TAATATACTCCCTTACTTAACTTTTGCTTACAATACAGCAGTCCAAGAGAGTACAGGTTTCACCCCATTTCGCTTAGTTCATGGTCGAGAGGTCACTACAATGCTCGACGCAATGCTCCTTCCCAACAACTTGAGCATGTTCAACGCGGACGCTGCATTGTTCGTTCAACGTGCCGAGGAGGCCCGTCAACTCGCCTGACGCCGTATTCAGGCTCGCCAAACTGCCGACGCATACCGCTACAACCTTACACACCGAGAGGTTACCTTCCAACCAGGCGATGAAGTTCAGGTGTTGACTCCCATCCGACAGCGTGGTCACTCTGAGAAGTTGCTTCGGCGCTACTTCGGCCCTTACAAAGTTCTGCGCCGCCTCAGTGACGTTACGTGTGAAGTTCTCCCTGAGGGCGCCTCAAGACGTTCCCGTCGGTTTCCACAAAGTGATGTGGTGCACGTGTCAAGACTCAAGCCATATTTCTCGCGTCGTTCATCGAACGTGGACTAACTTACCATGCAATGACTATTTTTTGTCACTTTCATTTTTTTTTTTGATCGTCTTGGGTCCCAACTCCTTTCTTTATTGAGTACTTCTATGACACCAGTCCATTTTTTTTCCTTACGACGGAGTTGTTGGATTCCTTGGTAGCATCTTTTCTTCCTCATTTTTTTCTCAACGCTCATTACCAGCATGGAGCCGATGCTTTTCGAGGAGAGGGAATAATGTCACAGGTAATGGGTATGAGCCATCAACTGTAGGTGAAATCCCTTGGAACTGAAGAAAGAAGAGGGCTTTTGCTTCCTGGTCTGAGGGCAAGCAAGACGTCAATTCGTCGCTGTCTGTTATTACGTTCGCGGCAATATATTATCAAGAACGCAGCTATGAAGCGATGGTCACATTACTGATGGCCGATGCTAAGTTCCCACACTCTTAGAAAAAAAAGTGGTAGTACTTGCTAACTTTGGGGTAGTAATGGTTTGTCACATAGGGTACAACCCTGGTAGTAAGCGCTGTTAGTAACGGCGAGTGTCGTAACGGTTACTACCTCTGCTGTTACTACCAGCATTTAGTAACTGTTACAACCCTAGCCGTTACCACCCATGGGTAGTTTGAAGGTTTCAAAAAAAGTAGTAAAGGATTCTACCTTGTTTATTCGTTTTGCCCTAATGTTTCTTTACTGCTAATGTTCGTCAATCAACGTCTGATTTCAAGACAACTTCGGGTAAGGAAGCGTCGTGTGCCATGAATGCGAAGAATGCATAGACCAAACAAGTTCACTATTGTTCTACGTATACACGTAGTAACAAGTAAGCGTGGGGTATATATAGCCCCTACTTTGCAGGGGCATGTCTGGCACTGGGGAGCACTTGTGTTTCAGAATGTATTATAAATAATTTAAACCTATAACATTGTAATATACTACCTGGTTACGTGTGTTTGGTGACGTAGCACAAGAGTTTAATTCAGCAATACTTATAAAAATTATGTTATATTTAGTTATTAAAAAGGGCCACAAAAAGGCATTATGTACAGTGGCCGGAACAAGATACCGAACTCATTCTCAGTGCATTAGAATGCTTCACACGGCTAATACATCAGCGTTTAAAAGGTAATAATTGTTTTAGAAGTCTGATCCGCCAAAACAATGATAATATTTGGGGACACGCCACCGTGGAATAACTGGGACTGTCCTCGGGGCTAATTGGGAACGTCTGGTTATTTTAATCTGTCGGTCTTGATAACATGTGCTGTAATTTACGAAGTTTGTTGTAATTGTCTATTACAACACATGCAGCACTTGCTTATGGTTCGTTAGCTTGTACTTCTCTATTTCGACAATATCAGAATGACGTTTACATATCTCGGTTGAGTAATTTAAAACAAAAAATATTTTCTTGATCTGTTAGTACCTTCTGCGGCATTTTTCCGTTTAATGATAATATGTCGAGACTATTCCTCTCATAAATTGTCAGAACCATATTCAGACACTATTTTCGATTAGATAGTCAAAAGCCGGGTAGTAAAAAGGTAGTAATGGGGCAACAAAAGTATTAACGGCTGTAGTCACTACCTTATTTTCCAGTTACTAACTGTTTACTATTATAGGTAGTAAACAGGTCGCAAAAAAGTTAGTAATGGTTGCAAGTAGTAACTCTATACAAACGTAGGTAGTAAACAGGTAAAAAAGGTAGTAACGGTCCAAGAAAGGTAGTAAGCGCGGCAGTTACTACCTATTTGCTTGCAGTTGCTACCTTATTACTAACTTTTTTAAGAGTGCTGGCTTGTATTTACTTTGTATTTATCATTTCATTTAGCAGCCTCATTATGTCCTCTCTAGCAGCAGCGTATTTCGCATCTCACTGCAGCCTTCTTCATCGCCACGAAAATGTAACAATATTACCGCAAGTTAGTTCCGCCTACAACACGTTCACTATATTTAGTGAATCTCTATCTGTTTCTTGAAGTCTGCCATCTAACAACAGGTTTTACAGGCGGATTTTATGACGAAAACTTCAATGACTTATTATCGCATAGGTTCATCCGTCCATACCCTGGAATGGTACAGATGTTGCCTCTTGCATTAAGCCTCACTCAGCAATCACGTGACGATACAATGTCTCGCTGCTGCAGCCGAGTTAGTCGTAGGGCTCCCACACGCATGCATCTTCCTTTAGCCCAGCCACAACCCGCCCATTCTTGTATAAGGAAGACGCGTGCATCGCGTTTGATTTCACCGACCCACCTAAATCGACACGCGCCTTTACCGTACACACTTTCAAATTTACAAAGTGACCACTTCTTTTCCTTTAGGTGCGAAGCCACTCTTTAACTAGCTTGTGTAATGCTGTCCCCTACGTTTGCACCAACCCACTGCCACAGGTATTAGAGCGGTGCCAAATATGTCAAGTCGCAGCTATGCATCAACGTCACTCTGCCCCTCCCCCGCAGCATCTGCCGGCCCCTCCACCCACTTGCATTACACTTCTCCCTAGTTTCACCCTCGCCACCACCCGCAACACTCGGCCGCACGTCGAGTGTAAACACTCTTTCGGCTCGTTTAGCTGCGATGAAACTTACACGGAACTTAACCCACCTCGCGTGTCTTTGCGTTTCAAACAAGCCTTAGGGATATTTTGAATAGCACACAGCGAGACCTTGCGGTGTGATTGCGGCCACTGCGCATGCGTCGCAACGCGAGCAGTCGTTCGTGTTCGCGGCCCACCCGCAAAAACATTGAAATAGCGGGTGGCGTGTGCGGCCCGCTTTGGGCCTGCAAACGCTAGTTTAAAGCCTACGGCGTCGCTGCGAACGTGCGTTGCGGTGTGCAGGAGGGCAAACGCTATTCTAAAACGCATATGTGCCCGCTAAGCGGGCAACGCCCGTAGCACTTGCAAACGTTATTCTAAAGCTCCTTCTTTATTCCAGCAAATGCTGCATCAAGTTTTGCTTCGATCCGTTCTTCCAGCACCCATGTCGACGCCCGTTTCAACTGGGTCAACGCCGTTCGCAGCGCTGCTGCTACGGATCTCATCAGGGTTCCCTTCGGGGACATGGTCCATTTTAACGTGATAACGGTAGAGAGGTCGTGTCGCAGAAATTCTGCCGTCAGCGTCGGCACTGTTGTGAGCGAAAAGCGTCCGTGAGCAAAACATCGAGAAAGAAGCAAATAAATCAAACAATAAAATTTTCGGTTCCGTTGAGGATCGAACCATGCCGTTCGTGTGGCAAGCAAGTGTCCTACCACAATGCCAAGATATTACTTACAGCTGCTTCGGGAAAAACACTACATAAATGCCATGTAGTGGAAGAAGTATTTTTGCCTCATTTTGTTGAAACGATGAAAACAAGCCCATTCGGTGATTTTTAGGGGCATTTGGGAAGCCATCAAACTATGTGGAAAAAGGCTGGCATAGTGCAGCCATCGCCGCTAAAACACATAGGAACTTTCAGACAGCTCTAAAAATGGACAAATATGGCCATCTAGCGCAAAACATATCATGCTTTTCCAAGACGTTGATCAAGCAAACACAAACGCTAATGTGCTGCCATCTATGAGGCATTGTGAAACTCTTTATGGTCTACGATATGGAGAGCGCGCAGCGTGTATCTTGGAGGCCACGCGACTCTTCCTTTAAATCAAAACTGTGTATGTACCATTCGCAAGCGCACGTGTGTGTGTCTATGTGCCATCGGTGAGACATTGCGAAAAACGTGTCTCGACTACAGCAGAGTGCCATTCTAGAAGAGGGGAGTGGCTACACTGCACAGTCACTGCATTATGAAACATACGTTGTGCCTGCACGTGCGCGCGTTTGTGCGCACGTGTGTGAGTGCGTTTGTGTGTTAACAAAACATAATAATCAGTATGCACTTGGCAGTCGAAGGGCGCAATAGGGTCTGGATTTTGCTATCGCGTTCAACTCACAAAGGAGAAACTTAAGGGTCCCTCAATTTTTTTTTTATTTTGCTAGCGCTAAATTTTATGGACCAGAAGTCCACAAGACATCGAAACAATTGTGGATATGGCGGTTATTTTTAATTGATACAGAAGCAATACTGAGAGAATTCTATTCTCTCCCATCTACACAGAATGTTTTGTTTCTTTGAGCCACCACTTTCATGCACATAAAAAAGAACTTCAGTCTTGTAGCACGAAAATTTGTCTTATGAAAAGAATAGTGCATTACATAGGGATAACTGTTATAGTGGCGAAAAGAATAAATAAAAAAATTCCCCCGCACGCACCGCCCAAAGAATTACGAGCTAGACACAGGGTAAAAACAATGAATTGACAAAGTTTCCTTATCCTTCACAATCACAAATATGCCCTGCAGTAAACGGGACAAGTATTTACTGTCGAACAGCAGCAGCAAAATAAAGGGATTCTTGGGGATCTTTTTCTCCAGATAACCTAATTGGCTGGTGTGCTCCTGGAATAAAATGCCTCATTTATTTTTATTATTCCATGAAGCCTCCAGTAAAACAACAATATACAGGCACCTACCCAAAACGTATCAGGCAGATCGTCCCACTGCACAGAGAGCAATGTCCACTTGAGAGAACTCGTCGAACGAACTGTAGTGTGTTTGCCAGAGAGAGACCCAGATCCTTCAACGAAAGTGACGTTCAGCCAGGCTTCTATAAAAAAAAAGCGGCATGCACAAAAACCAGTTGTCTACTTTAACGTAATGGTTGGGACACCTTATTTCGAATGCACACTTCAAATACAAATACTATCTACAAATACTATATAATGAACACCAGATGTGTGGAATCTGCTTCACAGAAACGCAAGAGATGTGGTCTAGTGCTTCACGACAGAGATCGTACTGCGATCGGTATAGCCGAACACACTGCCAAAATAAGTCGCATTCATGTAAAGAAAAATACAGAAATTTCTATGAAATGCAACGACGATTTTTTGTTACATTTTTTTTCGCCCGTGCAAAGACCATATCTATGACACGTCTAATGTATCCTCTTCCTAGTATTTTGCTAAAGAGAAATCATTTAGGCTTTGCTACGCAGTATAGTGTCGAAGATCATGGTTTTCACCTGCAGTTGTCTGTGAAGGCCGGATGAAACGTATAAATGTGAAATGATAACCTCCAATGTAAGATAGCGTGAAGATAATATGTATATTAGAAGCAAAAATATTGGTTCAAACTTTATTTTAGGGCTCAGCCTAGTGCACTTACTTTCCTTTTCCATGTAGTAATAAAGCTGGAAACATGCTATGGGACCTAGGGCAAGAACCTGGCTCTGCAAGACGCCAAGCTGTACTGCGGCTTGGTCCTCGGCGTCCAGAAGCATGTAGTATCCTGAAAATATTGTTCTATGTCACAATAGCTCCAACAAGTACAGGAATCTAATCTAGAGAGCCCAAAAATGCCATGGCCTGCGCGGAAGGCACAGCACAGTCGGAGCGAAAGCTAGAAGAGCGGATTTTCAGAGCCTTTCGAAACACTCATTAGGTAACTACTGCAAGCACACTTGCTTGGTACTCACTAGGATATTAATAGTAAACATGTTTAGGGTAGTAAGCCAGCATTCGCTATGCTATTTTTAGTCATTTTTCTGAGAAGCGTGGTGTCCGCCAAACAGCTTGCAAGCAATTTTGTGCCAATGATTCATGCATTGGCTGATGACGATGAGGAATTATGGCTGAAGTGGGTATGCGCCACAGTCAATGCCCCATTTGGCAAAAAAGAACATCGGCCACTGGACCAAAACTACCCGCCATGGCTGCTCGAGCTACCAACTATTGAAACGTCAATAGAAGGACTTCGCAGGAAACATGAAGTGCCAATCGTTCCCGCAAAGCAGATGGCATCACATCATCTGTATGACAGGTACCAAGGATACACTTACGTGTACACTGACGGCACCGCCATCAAAGAGACAGTGACATCAGCATTTATAATTCCGGAATCGCACGAAGAATATTGCCACGTTCCTTTTCTCAAGTTTTGTTATCGCCCTAATACACTACACAATGCTTAGCGCAAACCGCACCTGCAGTTTTCGAGCAGCTTCAGGACTGTAGTAGATCATTTCCATAAGGTCACGCCAACTCCGCGAACTGTACAGATTATTCTGGAACCTACGTCACCGCTAGCGGCAACGCTAGAACATTCCATTGCAAGTATAAATGCCGACGTGCTTCGCCGCTTGTCAGTTGATCGACGGCCGACGCTGCATGCACCGCTATCAGTGCAAGTGTGCTACCGTACGCCGACTCTCCGTTTTACGGGCACAGGTTCGCCCAAATAAAATGTTTGATCTGACCACTCCGTTTCCTGCCTTCAACCACGTCACGACGCCGTGACATTATGCATGTCGTTTGGGCCACCTCTCCTCTTCAACAACGTCGGAGCTCGTAGTGAATTTGCTAGCCATAAGCTTTATTAAGCTGTCAATGACATCAAGAAAATGGGTGGTAATTACAGACTCTCTGGCAGCGTTCGCACGTGTGGAAAATGCCACTTCAAGACACATTGATGTGCGTATAGTATACACTATACTAAAAGAGCTTTCAGAAGCTACAAAGTCAAATCATCGAGTGGCATTTCTGTGGGTTCCCAGTCACTGCAGAATTAAGGCTAATTAAAAGACGATGAGTTGGCGAAAATCGCTCATAATTCTACGCAAACGTGCCTCATTCCGGTATCTCAATAAGATGTTAATAGAATTTTAAGAATAACAAAACGTGAATTATGCCTGTCTACCTGGTTCACAGACAAAACAAGGGAATCGATCCTATATGCTGTTGATCCTAATCTTGAATACCAATTAGGCCGTGACCTCCCAAGACATATCGGCACACTCATACATCGCCTACGACTCGGAACTGCTTGCACAAAGCACTTCCTACTTCGTATTGAGCGTGCAACATCGTCAGCATGTTCATGCGGCCACGACTACGAGGATATCTGTCACCTCTCGCTCGACTGTCCGAAACACGACATACACCGAAGGTGACAAGAGCAGGGACTCCATAAGTTAGATTCCGAGCGGCCATTTGCGTTGAATAAAATACTAGGTCTATGGCCATCGAAAAACGAATGGCAAAGCAATGAAGGTGCTGCAGCACTTCTTCGAAGAAACGAAGATTTGTGACGAATACTGAGCGGCCAAAAGTTACGAAGTGAGTGTGGCGTCTACGTGCTTGTCCTGCCCATAGGAGAACTTTTGCTCTCACCCATGTCGGACTGTATGTATGGATATATGGCATGTGTTTGTTCTCAACTCTCCCAATGATACGGTTGCATTGCTCTTCTTTTGCATGGCATTATATTCTCTCGCAGCCTACACTCGAGGAAGTAAAGGAGTAACGGGGTATCGAGGTTGCTCTTTTAGAATGAGTGACTAACTCGCCAACCCATTGCACAATTTCGGGAGTAGTTGCGAAAGAGTAACCACTCTCTCGCGGTTACTCCTCAAAAGAGCAACAGTTAGCAAAAGAAAAAAAAAATCAGGGTTGGCTTCAACAGCCTATCGAAGTGCGCGATCGCATTTGATTAGATGCACAATCGCTGTGCAAGCATCACATTCAGAAATAAATTCCGGAAATTTTGCAGCAAGCACACGGGATTAAAACTCACGACCCCTCAGTCAGCATGCGCGTACACTCACCACTACACCACACCACACTACGGCCTCGTCTGAAAGGAAACAGGTTTGTGTAGGCACCGATGAGTCATTCGCACCCGGCGCGAACATTCTTACAGTTACTTCAAAAAAACGGGCGATTTACTCCACAAGGAGTAAAGTGCCCCTCCATGCCATGCCGTGTGCAATCTTTTGCGCGCATTCCGTCTTTAGGAGGAGCAAAGAGCCCTTTTCGGGGGTACCGGCGCAGTTCCTCCACAAAACTTTTTAAAGTGTAAGGCTAACAATGCACCGTTTTAGTTTATCCGGCAATTCTCTTGTGTGCTTTGCGTATGGAAGAATATCGGGTGTGCGCTACATTTGCGTACGCCCGCGAACCGGGGTCACACAGCTGAAAGCGGTTGCAGTACACCTTGAATGTCTTTAGCGATGGCGTGTGTTCCGTGACTCGTTATCTCTGAATTATTTCTTCTATTTGCTTCATTCGTGTATTTAGGCATCCATTAGAGAATACACATTTTCACTCGGCACCACTTTAAGACCAATACTAAAATACAACACCATCTTTCGCTGAAGGGAACCATGTGTCGATGCGAAGCAGCGGGCGCTAGCGCTTACACAGGCGGCTGCGTTGACGCTGACACTCATCGCAGCATTGCCCAGCAGAGAAACCTCGGGAGGCGCAAAGCACGCAACTATGGACTCTTGTTTTCTACTGGAACACGTTAGTTGCTGTTAATGAGTAATGAGAGACTGAAGACTGTGATGGGACACAGAAGCATGTATATACTGCGCTTTTAGACGCGGATCATCTTTTGCTCGGGTCTATGTTCCACGGCGTCGGCGTCCATACTCACACTACGAATGCACGACTCTCCTCCATACATATCTCAAATAAACCACTCTTACTGCGCTTACGCGTCCGCTCCCCCTCTCTTTTCTCTTCTACGCTCCCCTTTCTTGTCTCGCAACGCCGACGCAGGGAGCGCCTGATAATGTACGCACCCTAGACCCTCTCCTCCAGGCATTCCTGCCCGCGGAATTTACATCGCCATTACGCATGCGCGTCACTTCGCCCTCTTCTCTCCAACGCCCTCTCTCATTCACCTCGCAGCGCCAATGAAGCAGTGTGTGCTAGCGAATTTCTTAATAGAACAAAATTGGCAGATCTCACGTTCAGTGGGAATCAATTATATGCGCAGAACGAATGAGGAGGGTGGATATGTCGCTTTAAAATCGACAAAACGTTACGAGGTTGAGGTAAACGATGCCGTACTTGACTTCCGTGTCCTGATAATCATGTTTTAGATGCGGAGCATCTTGTACTCGCGCCTTGTAGTGCGCCGTTCGCGTCGTCCGCGCCGTCCACACCGCTTCTCGAACATTCGACAGCTGACGCGCGCGCATGCGCCGTCGCGCCGTCGCCCACTCTTTCACCATCTGTGCATCCCTTCCTCCTCTACACACCGCGCGCGCTTCACTCCTTCACCATCTGTGCACCCTTCCTCCTCTACACACCGCGTTCGACATCTACAATTCTCCTGATTCTCCAGTGGACGCGCATGTGGCGTCGCGCTTCGAGAACATTCAACAGCTGACAGTGCATGCGCCGTCGTGCTGTATATATACTCAAGGTCGGCGCTCGCTCGCTCAGTTGCCGCTCGTTGGTTGGTTTGTACGGCGCGTCGACGTCCAAGGTCGCGGTGAAATGAATTCCAACGAATCCACAAACACAATGATCGACGTCCCTTCGACCAGCGCCGCCCTTTCGCATACGTGTGTACGTGTTCACTCATTTAACACCCCCTCCTACAACCACGTTAACCAATTTAGCCATCGACCCAAGTAAGTCGCAATTTAACACCCCATTTCACAACCACGTTAACCAATTTAGCCATCGACCCAAGTAAGTCGCACTTTAACACCCCGTTAACCAGTTATATGGTCCGCATCCTCCTCAGTGTTCCCCCGAGGGAAGCTGCGGGCAATTTTTTTGCGTCGTTTACCTTCGTCATCTATTCACATCACGTGATACCAAATTTGGTATAAGTAGAGCTAGCGAGATGGCCGCCAGAACGCCATGAGCGTGGTATGTTGTCATGTTTTTGCATGACATGCGTGTCAGGATTATCATGTTTGCACCAGTCATATATTTAGTCATCCATTGACGTCACATAACACCAAACTTGGTATAGATAGTGCTACCAAAACGCCCGCAAGCGCATCAATAAGGGCCCACTATACTCCAATGTAGCGTTGACGCGTGCGCACATGCTGGTCACAGCGGCACTAAGTTAGCAAAACGCGAGCTCTCTATAGTCTCACGCCAGGCGCGACCAGCGTTCGTTCGACATGGCCTGGCGGAAACCGGCGCGAAATGCGACATGCTGCATTTCGCGCCTATGCGTTACCCAGACAACTCTGCATTTCCGTCTTTTCGTGACGGAGGGATGCCAGACGCGCTGAAATGCGCATGAGTCAAAGCAGCGCAGTGTAGAGCGCACCTGCGAGTATATGGCAGGACCGGTACCTGGCGTGGAAACGACGGCATGACGCGACGCAATGAACGCCGGTGAGTACGCGCACCGCATCACGTCGAAATGTACTTGGCACCTTCACTGTGGCATTAGTCATGTTCTCACATAACATGCATCTCATGATTATCATGTTTGCACCAGTCACATACCTTTGCCATGCATTGGCGTCATGT